GTTTTTGGTAAATCGAGCCTCTAAGAATTTCCTGTGTCAGTATGTGTTGAGAGGCAAAATGGAATGGACTTGCTGAAAGCAGCAACTAGACAGACCATTTGAAAGAAGCACCTCACCTCCCTCTCTGCATATACTGGGGTGTTCAATGTTTACTTGCTGGCATTGGTAACAACCTCACTTCTGATCCATGAGGCCAAGGGGAAGAGCCTGAAACTTAGGCTTTGCAGACACTACTGACATCCTGCCCTACCAGCTACCATGATTTCTATGAAGTACTTCAAGATAACCAGACATTGGTATTTCCCAAACTCCAATCTTCATAGCAGCCCCCTGCACGCTCAGACGGACAGTAACACAACGATGGGAAAGTCCTCAAGGAAGTCAGAGCATCTTGAGCAACACCCAGGTCATCAGGCCATATGGCCAGTCTGCCACATTGCCTGTTGATGGATGAGCAGTGTCTGCATTTCAGAGCTTCCTTGGGCCAAAAGAGTGACTGCTCATTCTCTAAAACCTAGATTTCTGGGGGAGGAAGGGACAAATAGCAGCCTAGCTCCAAGGGACCCATTGCTGCAGCAGTGGCACAAATGCCTGTGAAGGCTTCACCTTTGTATATTCCTTCAAGGCAGAAAGCCCAGCAATCCACCACAGAGCCACTAGCCATTTTCCATCTCTTCACTCCTCTGCTCATGCTGTCTGAGAGCTCAGCAAAAATTCATCCCACAAATAACAGCCTAGCTGCTAATGATGGGGTAGAGCTAAGTATGTTTATCCACTGCTGTCCCATCTTGATGCAACAGGAACTCCTGCTAGAGGTGACCTGAGGAAGTCAAGTGAGGAGGATTCTGTGACCCTTTACTGAGATTCTTGCCAAACTAGTAACAAATTTCAGTGGTGGTGCCATGATATGATCTTGACTGAGGACCAAGAGGAGGAGGTGTCTATAGAGCCAAGCCAAACACTGTGGGCACAGCTCCCAGGAGAAGAGGCAGAGCTTGTGCTTAGCTGGTTTTCTTTAAATAAAAAAAAAAAAAACCTCCTGTGACTTTCACAGCCAGTCCTATCAATACCATCCTGCCTAATATTGATGAGTCATCCATCTTGAGATCCTTTTCTTGTTGAACCTATGGAAGGCATAAGCCAAGGCACGGAAGCTCTTGGAGCCTCAGCCAGCTCTGCAGCAAAGCACTAAGAGCATGATGCTACCAGCAGCTCAGTTCCTGAATCATGAGAGGAACGGGGTAAGGAGGCTGCTGACAAGCCCATTGCTCCCAGAAAGCAGGACTGCATGGCACTGCTTGGTCTCAATCCAGGGGAGGGGCACGGAAACAAAAACAGAGAGAAAACAAGGAGAGGAAGAAACCACAGAAGGAAATGGAAGGGAATGTCTAGGGCAGGAGTCCAAGTAAGGCACAGGTAAGGAAAAGAACAGGTGGTTTGGGAATAGCAAGAGGACCATGATGAAGAAGAAGCACAGATGAATGGACAGCAGACCTGGTCACCCAGAGCAAAGGACAACAGAAATCCCTTGCAGCAGTCAGTCCTGTACTCATACACATGCTTCAGCTTCTATTTCCACTGCAAGGTTCTCACATACACTCTGGAATGGGTTTCACCATATATATATATGTGTGTGTGTGTGTATATATATATATAAACAGTGATATTTTTAACTTTACTTCCCTATGGGAGTGGGGGAGAAGTCATGACTTAAAAACCTGGGGTAGCAATACTGCCTTTGCTGTGTGGTTTGTAGATCCAAAGAAAAGAGGCTTGTGTTGTAGGAGAAGATGCTGAACAGCTGTGAAAAAGTGTAGCAGAATTTTGCTTCTCTGTGACAAAGCCAGATACATTGGTAAATATACAAAACCCAATAAAACTATTACAGAAAGTTTTTCTACAAATATTTCTCAGATTTTTTTGGGGAAATAACAGCTCCCGAACCACAGTTCATTTTCAAACAGGAAGAGAAATTCCACTTTTCAAAATATTTTAAAGATTTTTTTAATGTCAAAACCAAAAACAAATTGTCATTTTCCCCATGTCCCAGAAGCCTTATGAAAAATACTTTTCTCCCTGTACTGTGGATGTTCTCTTCTCCATAATTAGTATTTTTATTATGCAGAAAAAAGTGGTTTGCTATAATTTCATCCAATGTCTGCAAGAAGGGAACATATGCCCAACTGAAGCAGCAAAAATGGAAAATCAAAACTTTTTTTTTTTCAGAGGAGGTAAACCGTGAAACAAGTATGGAAAATGTAACTTCATTAAATGTTGTTACAGGGGGAAACAATCTATATCTCTGGTAACCCCTAAAAATGTAAAGGTAATTCTCTGACTAATTCTGGGAACTTCAGAGATAGGAATTTTCCAAGTTATGAATCCAATGTCACTTCCAAAACAGAGTTAAATTGTTTCTTCTGCTTTTCAAGTTTTACTGAACAACCAAGACAGCTATGAAATGACCTTAGAATAAAACAAAAAAGGCACACTTAAAACACAAAGAACTCTTTCCCCTGCCCCAATCCCTCAAAACCCCACAAATCTAAGCAATCCCTCACTCCAGGATTACCACACAGCCACTGGATATCCCACTCTGGAAGAACACCATGCACTAAGGCATGCTAGGCTGAACTTTCATGTCTGCCCAATACTAAACTAAATCCATTGACTGCTGTCAGCACAGTTGTACAGCAGTGACCTTGTCTCCTTCTAGGGTCTAGAGTCAAGCAAAGCTCTAGGCTCGTTCCTGGGGCTGCCAGGCTCCTCCAGCTCTGCACAGCCAGAGTTCCAAGGACTCCGTGCTGCTGCTGACTTACAGCACTGGCCTGATCTTCCCATTCTTCAGCCACAAAGTGTGTGCACACGTGTGCATACTCACAGACACCTAATGTGTGCACACAGGTATATTTATACACATCCCCTCACCAAAAACCTAACTTACAAGGAGTCAATTCTCCACTGAGAGACTGAGAGGAGTTACCCAAACAATAAATAATAGCCTCGCTCCTTTCTACACTAATTTTCTCCATGAAATACAGGCCTGTGATTTTTTTTTTTTTTAAACAGCAGAAAGATATCTCATAATTTTCTTGTTTCACTTTCAATATTCTTCAGCCTTAGTTAATTTCACAGGCCAGGGAACAGAGATGATTCTATGATTCCACTGAATCTGGCTCAATAGGATTCTTTCCACCCTATTTCCCAGATGTACATTTGATTTTTCTAATGTTCTCCCTGTTACAATAATCCTTCAGCTCACTCTCTTTTACATTGCCTCTTTTCAGCCCCTTGCTCTCCTCACAGCAGAGCTGTAAGGCAAGGAACTGAGGATCCCTGTTCAGAGTCAGCCCCCTGCGTGTTTCTTGACCATGCAGGCTAACAGAGGCTCCGTTGTGCTCTGCACTGATAGAAATGTCCCAGTCAAGGGAGTGAAAGGCAGAGGATAGATTCATATTCTACAATGTTAGCTATCAAAATACAGCTGGACCTAAAGAGCGTATTCAGAACCTCTAGATCGTGCTTTAAAAGTAAATAAGGTGTCTCAAACACAGCTGCCTTGAAAATGCAGCTTAGTGAAACAGTTAAGACCATTTTACACAGTAGCATAAGAAGCTGGGTTTGTTCTATTAGTTTCCTTAAAGGCCAAAAGAAAAATGCAAGAAATTAAACCTTAAATACTGAAGTGGCATATTTGGTTAGTAACTAGACAAATGCCATAATAGGATTTTGCCAAAACCCAGAAACATGCAAATTGTTTGCCCGAGATGATGCAAATGGGAGCTAGTTTTAAATTTTGTTATTAACTTTTAAAATCTGTTATTAGGTGTGAAAGTCACACAGGCAAACAGGCCCAGCATAAGGGCCTCTGTACCACTCCTACCCCAGAAAAGCACTTTATGGCCCCTATTGCCATAACTCTGTAACTCCCTCCCCTGAGAGCAGAGATGATGAAATGTATGGACTCTGGCCACAGGGAAGAGAAAGACGCTGCCATCTCTGCTTAGTCCTCATGTTTCAAAGTACCTTCACAGAAAGCCAAACCTGAAGGTGCAACAGCACTCAATTTTTAGGGAGCTGCCCCCTCAGAATAACAAAATAGAGGCAACCACAATGGTGCCAGGCTCTCATGAGGAAACTGTGAGAGCTCTGAACTAAGCTACTGCCAGTGACCAGGGACAGTACACAGACATCCTCGTGGCTCTGAAAGGCACAAACTCCCTGTTTCCTCCCACGAGGAATCTACTCCTGACCTGTTTTTGGCCAACAGACTTCATCAAGCAGGAGATACTCTCTGCCTATATATAGGATATGATTGAGAAATGTGTCTGCACGGAATTCAACAGTAACTTTGCTCTCCATTAACCTATTTGCTTTTTCATTACCTGCACAGTTCATGACTTCTCTCAATAATCACTGAACTCCATTATTAAAGCAAGAAACATTTTTTGAAGTTGAGTAGAAAACATAATTACTGTTGTAGAACAACCACTGCATATTACATTTAAAACAAGCAGAACCCACAAGCAAAGAACATGTCCTTTGACTTCAACATATTTGTCCTGGAGAAAAAAAGGCAAAGAATTTGTACGACTGAAACAGTTCTCATACACTGTTGTGACCAGCCAGCTCCTTCCTCAGTCTGCTCAAATTATCACAGTGGAGAAATTGCTGTTGACCTTTTGGGACAATACTTTCAAAAAGATGCCACAGCAAACATTTTAGCTTGTTTTGAAATATCTGTTTCTTGTCAGAAGTGTTTTGCTTTTAGCTTTAGGGTAATGTGAAAAGAAACAAGCTTACCAAAAAAAAAAAAAAAAAAAAAAAAAAAAAAAAAAAAAAAAAAAAAAAAAAAAAAAAAAAAAAAAAAAAAAAAAAAAAAAAAAAAAAAAAAAAAAAAAAAAAAAAAAAAAAAAAAAAAAAATTCTGTTTGGGAAGGAACAGCATTGCTGATGCTGCTAACAGAGGAGTGACAGGCCAGTGTGTTTGTGATACTTTACCTTATCCCCTGGCTGTGGTCTCATAAGAGAGACTTGATCATAGCCCCGTCGAACCAAAGCCCACAGTGCATCAAGTTTGCCCTGGAATACAAAACCAACAAGATATGAACGAGAAAATCAGTGAAAATAGCATGAGATGAAACTACAAGTGAGTTAATACAGCTTTCCTGTATTAAACTGCCTGCACACACACTGGTCCTGTGCCCTTGCCCTCTGTACACTGCTTATATCTGGACAACCAGAAGGACCTCTTTGGGGTAACACATACCCAATCTGCAGTGGGCCAAATTCTGTCTGCTCAAAACTCACTGAGGATGACAGCAGTTTAATGTGAGCAAGTCCCTTAGGAGAGACAATCAGACAGGTGTTACATTAAGGTGTTAATGTTACTTCAGGTGTTACGAAAGGCAAAAAAAAAAGTACTGTAACTTTCGGAAGAGAGCTGGAACACTGAAGAACAGCCACAAGGCTTTAAAATTCACAGATACTTTCCTGACAATAAATTCAAGCACTGTTTAATTCATCAGCGGCTATGGTGGGGAGGGGGAACTCATCCCACAGAGCACTGGTTTAGGACATGGCCACAGATTTCTGGGATGAGCATGGTATGCTGCTCCCTCAGCCATGCCAGCCCTCCAGTTTTCTTCTGTGTAAGCAGAGATAACAGCTATTCCCTGCCTCAAGGGTTGTGTGAGGATACATACATTAAAAGACATTGAAACACCAGATACTACAATTACACGAGAAAAATGGGGATGAAAGTGTGGAGAGACTGACTTGCCCAAAAATCAAACACTTGGTCTTGTGGTTGAAATAGAGGGAAACAGAGCTGGACTCCAACCCACGGCCTTAGCCACAGTGCAGTCAAAGCAAGGATGGTGCACTTTATCTGATCCTCTTTTTGACTGCCTTGAGATGGCATCTTGACCTCCAGCAAGAGTTGAGTAATCCGCTGTTACAATTGACACTGTGCCAAAGTACCTGGAAAGACAGTGTGAGCTGAGGAAAGGAATATATCTGCTCATGCCTTTCACTCTTCCTCAAAAAAACTATGGCAACACACTGTCAGGTGAGATGCATGTTCCAAGAACAAGCGAAGTTGAGGATTAACAGCTACTTTTCCCAAATAGGCTTTCCCAGCTCTACCGAAAGAAAGGTTGAGCTAAGGAAGTTGGATGTAGTATCATATATGACATAAGAGACCTGATAAAAATGAGGGTCAGACACACTACCTTGATTGGAGTGTACCATTTTCGCTGGGAAGGTGGTTTTCTCACGTGAGGCTTCTTTGGCTTGGGTTCCCATGGTTCATACTCCTGTTCTGGCAACTTAATAATAGCGTTTTTGGGTTTCTCCAATTTTGCTCCTTCCTCTGTTGACCCCTTGTCTCCCCATCGCACCTGAAGTCAGGAGAGCACACTGTAAGTAGAGACACTTCAGCAGTCCCCGCTAGTAAGTGGTTTCCACCGACATTAATCTGATTTCTCATCAGATATCCCAGTACCACCAGAAATTAGGTCAAATTTATGAAAGCATTGAACTCCTACCATAATCAGAAATTCACAGAATAAAATAGTTTCATTCAAAAACTTCTTGAACTAGCCTTTGTACCTTCCAATAATTTAAAGTGGTGTGGGAATTCACAGCATCTGGAGCAGGTAAGAATCATTAAGGTTGGAAGGAATTCTAAGATGACTAAGTCCAACTGTCCAACCATTAACCCAGCAGCACCACGTACGCCATTAAACCATATCTCGAGTGCCACATCCACACACCTTTCCAACACTTCCAGGGATGGTGATTCTACTTCTTCCCTGGACAGCCTGTTCCAACTCCTGATTACCCTTTAAGTGACATCACTACAAGTCATCTTCAGGCCCTCAGCTGATACAGGTGAGTGACAAACCACTGACTCCCTGGAATGTACATGCCATAGGACACCACAAGGCAGATTTTTTTCACAGTGACACCTCACTTACACTTCAAGACTGACTTGTGCATGAATTGGATTTGATTAATTGGCCAATTTCAACATAGATGTGGTTTTGTGTATTAGGAGTTGATGCTTAACTGGAAAAAAACAACCTCCCTCCATAACAATCACTGGTTTAAATTCCCCAAAAAACCTGCTTTCAGCCTTTGCACCGATGGCACCTTCAACTATTTAAAACCAGTGTAACCCTGCCTGAAGTCTTTGCGACAAGAGAACTGGACACAACTGCACCTAAGGGTCTGACTGGGTAAATTAAAACCTCTTTTGGTGTTTATCTCATTTCTTACCCTGCAAATTTTCTCTGGCTCATAATGCTAGATTCATTTAATTAGCCATGCAAATGATAGCAGCTTGATGTCTGTTACTTGGACAGCAGGTGCAAATCAGGTGGACAAGCCCTAATTAAATACAAGCCCCCATCCATCAAGGTACCTTTCCAAAAAGTTGCATAAAAACATATTGGTACAATTTTTAACTAAATGTGATGGGTTTTACAACACTAAAGAATAAGTCAAATACCTCCATCCTCTTAATTCCACCAACACCTCGACCTCCATAATAAGATGCATCCACGGTTGGCCACTTTTTCTTTGGCAATCCATCTTCATCATCTGATTCCTGTGGGAAAGACAATGAGATATTACTGCTGTTCTCACATGAACAGCATAAACTTTGGAAAACAGCTGAATATCCTATGGTCCAATCCTTGGATATCTGGCTTTGTGTGTTATGCTTATTTTTTGACAAAAAAAAAAAAAAAAAAGAAAGAAAAAAAAAAGTCTTTCATCTCTGCAGCTGCAATTTTAACTAGAGAAGCCAAAGAAGATTGTCTATTCCTCTCTCCAGGCAGTTTTTATTTAGTCAAATATGCACTGAGCTCTGAAATCCCAACTGACTTGTAAGGGATGGCAAAATGCAGATGAATCTTACACTATACTGGATTGCCACTATGCTATGCAGAAAATGCAGCAGTTAGCCCAAAGAAATAATTTATTAATTGCACTTTTAGAAATTAATGTCACCTAACAGAGGAAAATACTGTGAGTTTTCTACATGTGCATCAGACCCTTTTCTCATGGCAACTGTAACAAGTAACTCCACACTGCTCAATTCTTCAAGGAGTCTGGCTCAAGCTGTACAGTTTGAAACCAGGAATCAGACAGCAGCATCTCCAAACTGTCACGGAGCTCAGATCCAGAACACTGGATCCAGAACACTGCTGGTTATTTTTCAGGAACATGCAAGTCAGAATCAGGGATTTACTTCAGGTTCATTTTTTTGTTCTTGTTTAACTAAAAAATGGCAGATGTTTCTGGTTCGACAACGCTGGGGACACATCGCCAGCTCTATCATCTTGAGTCAATAGACGTCACTGATATATGAATAGATTTCTCAGACTCCCCATCATTACACTAACTCAATGCACCTGAAAGTCACACTATGACACTCCAAGTACACACACAAATGAGGAAAGGGCCCAACAAGCCTCCTACAATACTATCTTCATTCCTCACACACTAATAAAGACAAATAACTATACCTCATACAGATGTGTGTGCTGCTCTTGGACTGGCTATGCATAGTACTCTCTGCTAATTTCCATCAGTACAAGCATGTTTCTAGAAACTACCTGGACTTAGCTTTTAATAATAATAAAAAAAAAAAAAAATTAAAAAATCAAGTGAAATCCAAATACTGCAGATGGACATAAAATACTGTCACATTACTAGCTGACAGCTTCTCAAAACTACCTTTTGTATTTCTATTGGAATGTATCAGGAATTGAGAGCCCAAAAGTCAAAAATAGTTTTAAAAAATATGATTTAATTTTTATTTGTTTGTATTTAGCTCCTAGGTTATGCCTTGGAGAAAGGTATTTCCATCAGTTATTCAGTGACATGTGATCTCTCAGTTACAGTTCATCGGGTCAATTCCTCCAACAAATTCTTTAGTATGGTCAGGCAAGGCTAGAGTTGACATTTCCATGAACTAGTAAGGGGAGTTTGAGTTTGGGGTTTTTGTTGCTCTGTTTTGTTTTGGTTTTGGTTTTTTATTTATTTATTATTGTTGTTTTGTTTTTATGCTAAACCAGGGAAATAAGTATACAAGAAAGGTATTGTGTGGTTTAGTGTTTGGTTTTGTTGCTATTTCAGTTAGTCGTTTTATTTTGTTTGTTTTAAAGAGTCTGACAAATGCACAACTTTTATCCCACTTCATGCCACATCTAAACCAGTACCCAGTGAACTACATCAGCATTTTTAACACATTTATATTTTATTTCCTTGTGAACCTGAGTACTATATAAAATACTCCGCCTCTTACATTAGATATAACACAGATTTCAAGCGTTCACGTGTAACAGCTCTTGCTGCTGGCAAGCCTGACACTAGCAAGACACAGTTAATGGCTGTTATTTTTCTAGCTTATACAGGATTCATACAAAATATCCCCTATACTGAACATACAGCAAAGCGACGTTTACAGCTACCACATGGAAATCTAATGCTTGTGGTTTAGAACAAGTTTTACATAACTATATTCAGTTTAAGAGCAGCAACACCAAAATACATCAGCTAAAGGACAAGTCACCATACCCAGAGAGGCTAGTGCTAAGTGTAATGCAACAGCAATCCAGAATGGATAAAGACAAGGCCAAGTAAAGAGATGGATAACATCTGTATTCTGCATTATTCCTGGAGGCTTACATCAGTTTAGTCTCTTTTTTTGCATTTAAAATTTCTTATGAAGAGAACTATTGCAAAGCATCTGGGAACTCTGCTGCAGGGGTGCAATGCTCTCTGCAGCCTTCAAACACAGCATGGCTGCAATTGCACACTTTGTGATAACACTACTCACTACAAACAGCATGAATTTCTGTGTGTATTCTGAAGTTAAATTGTTACAGTGCTGCCGCTCAGGACAAGCAACAGGATCACGTACACAGTAATGGTGGCCTCTAGCAACTTCAAAACAGCAGCTTCATTGCCTCCTCATATTCATGCCAAGTTACAGCAAGTTAGCAGCAAACTGTAAGATTCTGTTGTGGGTTGGGCAAGTATTTTTCTATCATTTAACTGTCTATGCCTATGAAAGAAATAAAGGCAGGTATAAGTTTTCTCTGCAGTAATTTTATTTACTACTTCTGTTTTCATGAAATTAGTATAGTGAAACTAAGCTGAGGTCAGGGTCAGTGAGTTACTGTCCCCAAAAGGGCTAAATAGAACCCTGTCTCAAACAGCTCACAACCTAAATGGAGAAAGGCTAAATGTCCTTCCAAAGGTCACCCTGCAGAAGAGCCACAGCCAGGGCAGGCTTTTGTCTCCCTCTCCTGTAGCAAAGCCACAAGAATGTGGCCTTTGCTGTCTTTTCTTCCAGCTGCCAGACTGTTCCTTACTGCCAATCTGCGCTAAACTCCTGCTGAGAACAATGTCAGCTTTACTAGAGGAGGGACAGCTGTCAACACAGCCTGAAAAGCAAAGATTTGCTTACACACCTGTTTGAAGCACAGCAGAAGGAACAAAATACCATAGGAACTGTTGGTCTGTGGACTTCTAAGTTATGCAACTATTTTCTCTCTGGATGGAAGCAGTCTTGCTGTTTGTATATAAAGAGGCCAGAAGGCAGAAATAACTGTCCTGACCGAGAGGACTTCCTTCCACAGCCTTCAAGGTGTCATTAAGACACCTACAGGGGTGACATTCCTAGGCAGCACAATACACTGCAGTGGCTGCAGAAAATACAACAGCTCCAAAACAGCATACTCACAGGTTCTGGGGGTGGTGGTGGCGGTGGTTCCTTGATAACCTGGAATATATAAATATTGGGAGAAATCTGAGACAATGGCAGGGCTCATCCATCTCAATGCTTTGTTCTCTTTGTTTTCTTGGTCATATCACAGATGAGTTGCCCCACTTCATTCTCACACATTCAATCCCTACAGAAACTTAAGTGACATCACAAGCTTACTTAAACTTCTCATTCAGCGTAAAAATCACATATGCCTCGAAACAATCAAAAACCCAGACTAGAGTGACTTCAACAGGCACTTTAAGCAACTTGTTGAATCAGGGCTTTACAAATATGGCAACATTTTTCTTAAGCAAAACAAAGTTAACCACCCACTCCAACACTTTAACTGTGTGCTTTTGCCAAGAATAGATGAAACTAAGTGAATAGTATAAAAAACTGTACTTACCACTGTGCAGCAAAGGGGCCAAAACCACCACAGAAGAGCCAGAGCCAGTAGCAGAAAGAGAATCAGGAGAGCAATGAAAAGGATGGTCCCAGTCAGCTGCAAATAAGATCATTAGGTTATCTGTGTATGTCTCAAAGAAGGCAGGAGCCCCGAAGTTACACATTTAGAATGAACTTTCAATCACTAAAAGGTCTCAGGAAGATTGTGATCTTAATTTTCATTAAGATCATAATAGTATTTGATGTGACAAACCTGTATTTGAAGTCACAAAATCAGGGGAGCATCTCCTGTTTTGCAGTGTGTATAACTTATGTATGAATTTAGGGTATGTTTATAGCCCATTAGATTCAAGAGTGTTTAACTTGTATAGAACCCATTTTGTGCTGACAGGTCCCTTAATACTGTCAGAGGGGCATTGCAAGCTACATCACCACAGACTCTCAGGTGTGAAGAATAAATTTCCACCACTACAGATGCAGAATATGCAAATGCTGATATCCAAAGAATGGGAATATTGGAGACAAGACCTTATGGGTAACTGTTCACATGTCAGCATCACAGAACAAGTTTCTTGCCCAGAGCATCAGCTCCTAGCCTGCCTGTATTGCCTTGACTCAAACTGCACACAAAACCTGAGTGATTATGCAAACTACTCAATAATGCTGTTGGTTCTTGGTATGCTTCTTAGGGCTGGTTTGACAATTTTTAATGAGATGCTGTAATCATTATCTTAAGCATTTCTGATTCTTGTATTCCATTGATCTCTCTGCAGAGAACAGTGAGAATCTGGGGATGGATAGCTTCAAAATCCAACTTAAATTTTCTTTAAAATTATTAGAAAATAAAAGAAAAAGTAAGTTTTAACACTTGAAATTAGCTTTTCAGAGCAGCTAAGCAACCAAAGAGAATCACAGCTCTGATTTTCTGAGTAAATCTTGATAGATCCTTTGAACTTGTAGCATTTCGTATCAGTGCATTCAGAAGAGGTATTAACTGTATATTGCTCTGATGACTACAGGAATCAAGTTTTCATATGCTCCTTGGCTCCTGCAGAACACACAGACCATATGGAAATTAAATGTTTGTCACAGATGGGCAGTGGCATGCTGGGATATGCCCTATCCTTGAACTGCACTGTTTTGGGGAATGATGTTAATATTATCTTCAGCTATTTTTAATTTTCTTATTTTTGTACTGGGAAAACTAATGGGAAAGAAATCTCTTCAATGGTAGATTTTCAGAACTTGAGAAGAGGTTCAATTCATCAGCAACAGGGTATCAAAGACCAGGCAAAACTTGGCAGCAAACTAGAGAAGTGCCTGGGTCTAGGAAGATGTGAAAAGAGTTTGAAGAAAAGTCAGTGAATCAGGCTGAGGAAATAAGAGTTGGCTAAAGAGGAAGCTGTAAGAGATTTTCAAAGAAGGATAGGTGGGACGATAAAGGGAAAGAAAGCATATTCCAAAAAAGACTTAGAGATGACAAAGTCCATGAGATTCACCTTATTAAATCTGAAATTACTTACTGAATTCCCATGACACCAGAAACTGATCCTTAGCCCCTTCTTACAAAAGGGATTCCCTTCACTGTTCTACATGTATTTGTTTTCCCTTCAGACAATGAGAAGGTTGAGGGTGGAAAAGAAAGTATCAGCTGATAAGAACTTGCAAAATCTGCGTGAGATCCCAAGTGATTGACTTGGGTGGGAGCTAGTTCTTTCTCAGGCCAAATCCTAGAGCTGTCAGGACTGACACATTCAATATGGGACTAATGCAAACACAGCTCCTACTCCATGCCTTTAGGTGGGTAACCCAGTATCCCATATCTGTGTCACAGCATCACTGTCCCTTCACTGCTCTGTGGCTTTTTGTTGTAAATACAACAAACTGCCCTGTTTGGGATAAGCTATTTAGCTCACCTTCATTTGGTCAGGGAGCAGCTGGAGTGCTGCAACGTGTGTACCAGACTCACTGCTCAAAGAAGTCCCGTTAGTGGACACACTACCCAGCGGCAGCTCAGCACTACAGCCCCCCTCTCTGGCCCTCCTAAGGCCCCATGTAGCACTAAAGCATCTGGAAAGCAAATACTTGAAGAGGCATTAATTCCCAGTGAAGTCAGTTTGCTGAGAAAAGGGTGAGTAAAAATCAAGTATAACTTCAGGAAGTATTGCTGCACTCCGTAAAAACAAATCCAAGCACAGTAGCAATGCAGTACCACTGCTACTATTGCTCCAAACACACATTACCTCCTTGTTTTGTCACCTTTGTTCTCACACATTGCTTTTCTCTTGCTAACTGCACATACAAATCGCTGTTTGCCAGCAGAAGCTCTGGAGTTGCTGGCAGCAAGAAGCTAGTCTTCTTTTAATGATTTTAATGACACAAAGCATCACAGGGAAGTTGGACTTTGAAAATAGCAGACTTGATGCAGCTGAACAGAAATAAGCATTGCAATCACACAGAGGCTTTAGGAGTAAAGTGAAGATACTTACTGTACAGAAAGGACAGAAGGACCAGCTGGGGAGGAGAGCTGAGCAGGCCAGCTGACTGCCACCCACAGAAAAGGAAACAGGAGAGGAAAGGAAATAGAGGGAGTCTCTAAAATGAGAAGAGTGAAATGCATGAATTAAGACAAAGTTGGAAACTGAACTGCCAACCTCCCTGCTTATGGGATGTAACTGGAGTGAGACAGTATTTTTGCACCAGCTGTGAATGAGGCTTCCTGCCTCCTTCACATTAAATCTGCAATAGACTGGTCAAAAACAGTCAGACTGAAAGGACTGGAGATTGGATTCCTCTTTTTATTCTAAGGCTACCAAGAAGAAAAGCTTTCTCCATCCATGCTCTGGCCTTTAGGAACCCCAGCTAGGGCTGAGACTTCAGTCTTCATCAGAAATAGGTTACATACAGGCAACTAAATGCACCATTTAACACTTTTGTTACCCTGCAGACTTGAAAGGTTTTATTGTACTTGAGGTAAAAGAGTGGAATAAAATGTGAAAATATCAGTCCTCAGTATTAAAAATCTGGAGAAAAGTTTTGGAAAATAGATATGATCAGGTAAAGTAGCAAACACATCACTGCTAAACTGAGTCCCTGCACACCAAAGTCTTCCAGCAATCTGTTGTGAGATTTCCCACCTTCATCACTGAAACCATAAAAAATGAGATTTGCAAGTTCCAGTCACTGCCTCTATCTGCATTCCTGCCCTTCTCCTCTGCAGCTGTCAAAATGGCCAACAATGATTACAAGCCAATATGACAGTATTTGGCATAGGCTATAAAAGTCCTTCTGACACCAATGACACTCCATCTGGTCTTTTTGACCATGAGATTATTGTATCTTAACCATCGCTGTCCCACAGCAGCACATTCTCCCTTGGTGGGCTGAGCAGCAGCATTTTATTAACACTCATATCAGGATCTGAGGGTCCTATTTCTTTCTGGTCATCCCACATGACACCAAGAGAAAAAGCAAACAGACCCTATCACTAAAACTTAAAAAACACCTTAGCAAATCCTGAATTTGTAAAGGCAAACTGAGGTGGTTAAAGAAGAAATGCTGTAAGCTACAACCAAAAAACAACCATGCCAATTTAGAGGACCTTTCATTCTGTGCCCCTTCCCAATCAAAGTTCCAGAAGTTGCCTTTTTACCCCAGATCCCATCAGGTATCCCAAAGCTCAACAGGGGTTTGCTTCCTGATGCTCCTTCCATCATTTTCTCAGATCACCTTCCAGTAAGATCCTAGCTTTGAGGATTTCTATCTTGGAATAGGAATGCCTTTTGTTGTAATTTTTTATTCAGGTAGTCTGTCATGATTATCTATCATCAATAACAATTTAATCTTAAATAATCCTGGTTATTTTTCCAAGAGCTGCTTCGATCTGGTCAGTAACTGTGATGCAGAAGCTGTAGAGAGCTCAAGCTCACTCAAGAAGACTTTGCCTAAAGAACTACAGTTTCTTTCCAAGATCTCATGGTTTCTCTGTCAAGCCCCATTGTAATTACTTACACAATGTGTGCTGGTGATGCTGACAGAGCTGGAGATGAACGTTAGCCCGTTGTTCATGCTGACTTGTAGGAAAACCACCCTAAAGCACAAAACAGATACACTTATTTCTAGTGTCATATTTATACCCACTGTTACCTTTACTCTGGCTCTGGTTTAGCCATTGGCTCATGAACACGCATTGATAGCGTGTCCTGCTGAGTCAAAGCATTTTCATAGCTCCAGGCACTCACCTGCATTTGCCTCTCTGCTTGCCCAGGAACTACCCTTTTTATGCTGCCTTAACTGAGCTGGGACAAATGCTCTTTATAGAAAAAACCCTCCACCTGGGGCAAAGGGCACTAGGACAGTGAGTTAGAACAATGTCTCAGACATTTGCCATACTGACCTAGAGAGCACAAGAAACTTTTTTTAACCCCCTTCAGCAGCTTAATGCACCAGAATGTTTCTTTTGTAATCCAAGCAAATCCAGAATACCTGAACAGAGGTTAAGGGTAAAAACACTGTGAAATTTTAGAAGATTATGTCCTTAGCCATTCTCCAGTATCAGAGAAAGTGTCTAAAGGGGGGGAGGAATCAAAAATAATAGTAATAAAAAAGGACAAAACCCCACCAAACAAATTTGCTTTACCCACAAATACAAAGGGGGATGGAGGCATTTACCCTTAGCCCCAGTATAGTATTTAAGCACCCACAAAATCACCAAGGGGAAAGTTAGGGCATTGTGCCATGTCTCCCAGAAGTCTACAGGATTAAAGCAGCTGAAAAATACCAACACTAGACAGAGCAGGGCAAAATACAGGAAGCAATATCTATAACAGTAGCAAAGCAATTCAAATCAAGCATTTCCTTTCAATCAAAACTAAAAGTTTGCCTGTAATTTAATTACCTTTTGGTCTGAAAAAAACCCAGGATATAGGAAGAAAGGAGGAATAACCATTCTATGATATGGGGCCATGGTCCAGCAAGACCTTTGGTTAAACTGTGCTAAAGACTCAATATTGAAGAAGGCTATGCTGACTCACACTAGGAAAGGACTTGGCACAAAAGGGATGGCTGCAATCTGACACACATATACATAAATTTATTAGTTTGACACTTTGGGCAAAATTATGAGGTTTTGGCTCAGTAATCATCCAGACAACATCCAGTAAACATTCTCATCCAGAAGTCCACTCTGTCTTGATACATGCTGGAAAGCAATACTTACTGTCCAACATCTTCTATCACTGGTGCAGGACAAAGTAAGTAAGTATCGTCCACAAGAGTTGGTTTTTCATCTGAAAAGAAATTAATATAACTATCAGGGATGAAAAAAAGAAATTGTTCCAAGCAGGTCACCCCCTGGAGAAGTGCTGACACCAATGACAGCCACAGATGAACTCAGTACATTGGCAAGTACCAATACTCCCCAGTGGTGCTGATTACCAACTAGAATAACCATTCATGTTGATGCCAACATGATGCTACCAGGCTAGAGGTATCACAGCTAAGAAATGGAAGTTTACCTCTGTTCCTGACAGCAGTGATCAGCCATTCAGAATTCAGCTTTGAGCTGTATCAATCCTATCCATCTGAGAAGTGCATGCAACCTCTACTCATACTGAATACTCTGATCTCCCAATTACTCAAGAGGTCAGAAGTTAGCGTTCAGTTTTTATCTACCCACTTTCAAATACACACAGAGAAGAATCCAAGGTTACAGTGTTTGAGTGCAGGAAAAATGAAGGACAGAGATGGGGCAGAGCTGAAACTGACAAATACTGGAGAAAAAAAACAAAAAAAAACCCAAAAAACCCCACAGCTGGTGATTTACAGGAGCCAAGCAGAGAGGGGCCATGACTGATGTTACCATGAGACCTACCCTGCACTAGCTGCTTCTCCTGTACCCGACCTCCCCTCTGTGGCAGCAAAAACTACGAATAGCCCATGTTTATAAGGGTTTGGTACAGGCAGAGCCAAAAGCATGGCCATGGGTGTTTTCCCACCTCCTTGCAAACCACTGCTCCAGCAGCCAGCAGTGTTAATCCTTTTACTTTCAGAAGTCACATCCAGAAAGCCAAGTCCCGTGAACACAGATAAGGGGCCCAGCAGTAATCCTACAATGGCATTCCACTAGAAGTGTGTAAATTGAGGCACAAGAGCAGACACAGTACTGCTGTGACTATAGCTTAGCTCTAAGTGGCCAGCAAAGCATCTCTGTTGCTAGCTCGGAGAAAGACTGGTCTACAAGAGTTGAACCCAAGTAACGGGCTGATAAAAGTTGCCATCTTATTTATAGATATTTGTTCACTTTTTTTACCTAGGAGAAAAAAAAAATTCAAGCAACAACAAATCTAAGAGTTGTTCCTTCATGCTATACCCACTTCAAGCACACCTGAAGACAGAACTCATTTTCCTGCCTTGCCAGAGATGAGAGCATAGAAATCGGTGATATGTTTTCGGGCCCGCATGAGGGCAAAAAAGCCAGCGAGCCTAGATCAGCATCTCATCACAACATCTGTCGCAGATCTAACCCAACATGGAGCTGGAATGGAATCAGAGTAGTTTTCCTCCTATTTATTTCCAGGCCCAGGTCAGCACTCACTGCGTGAAGTCCAATCAAGGTGCTAGTGGATTGGTGACAAGGAAGAAAAAGCAAAAAGCCTGTTTAACTGATAAACCACAAGAAACAACTCCTGGTTAAAGGGCATCTGTAAGTGGAATAAGAGCAAGACCACCAGAGTTGATTTAATGCAGCATCCATGTAGACAAATTGGATGGGAAATGAAGGAATAATTCATGTGCTCCCTCTTTTAAGTGAATTCACTGCTAGAGAAGGCACCAGTCTGGGCACGACAGAATGTGAAAGCCTCTACTGTGCTCACCCAACAAGGGTAGAGTATACAAAAAAGGAGCAGAGCTTCCCCTTCTCACACCATGCTTCACCCTGCCAGACATACACAGCTTCTCAGGAGTGAGAGAATTACTAAGAAACTGGACACTCAATCTTTTTTGGACATTCAGTCCTTCGCCTGGCTGCTGAGACAGCAAACAAGAGACCCTGTTCAGCACAGCAATGACAGGGAATTTCCATGTTACAGTCACTGTGGTGGGACCAGTAACTGGTGTCAGAGAGGAACAGAGCAGGCCTGGGAGGGTTTGGTTTTATTATGGCAACTGTCTCCTGAACTGGTGAATAAAAACTGAAAACACCACCATGGGATCAAGATAGCATTATTTCTTTTTACTCAGAATGGGAATCAATTTTGATTTTCCACCTTAAAACCTGATACCCAGCCTTCTCTGACGTATGCATCAGCCATGTGTATCATTACAATGATGCTGAAGTTTACTGTGCAGTAGCATGCCCCATTTAAGCACTCAACACAATGCCCACAGGTCACAGGATTGAACAAGAATGAATTTCAAGCTTCCTTTAAGTGTGGACCTCTGCCCCAGCTCCCCCTCATATCTGCTGCAAGGACTCCCCTTAACATGGGTGAGAGTTGGCCTGTGTTCCATGAGGTGACACAGCCACAGGGGTCACTAGAATATACCAGTCTGAAAACTTACTGATAGTAAGGCTGTCATTGAGCTTGAAGCTGCAGAGTACCTGGTCGATATTTCTTGCATGATAAAAGCCGTTGCCTCTTACCACAACCTGAAAGGATTCTGCAAGTGAAAATACAGAAAGAAGGTTTATGAAAAATAAATACAGCACCTCTGTTCAGAGTGACCTGAATTACAACATGACAATTACTGTTCTCTGCCCTATGCCTGAAACAAAACATTTACTCTGACACTCTATTTAGCAGCAATGGCCAAGAGCACTACGTGGCATTAGTGCTTCACAGAGTCTTCTCTTTGTCTTAAGTTGGCTCACACAAGAGCAACACGGATCTGCAATGCCTTGAAGGTGCCACAGTAAAACTCAGTCTGATTTAACTGATGTTATCTCATGGTTCCTCCATGGCTTTTGGAACAGACACCTTGCATAAGCACCAGTCTTTCCTCCTCTCTTCATGGCAGATGGCACTTGGCTGTAAGCAGCAGCTCTGTTCAGGCAGATGCTGACAGACAGGACTACCTCTTAAATCCCCTGTGAACCAGAGAGAAAGCTTTGCATCTGGTGTAAACCCTGGAATAAAAACTACAATCCTCCTGCCTCTACAATAATTGAGTCTGTGAACAGCCCCACTCAGCATCTGCTCTGCATGGGAATACTTAGGTGTTGTCATTTTCTTTGTGCTCTTCCCCCACAACCCTGTCCCAGCAGCTGAAACCACCAGTGGCACAAGAAGAGACCCGCCACAACTTCTGTTTCTTTATTCCTGATAGGGAAGGCATCCGTGATTTGTCATTACTATGATAAGCAACCATGATTTGTTCATTCAAGCAGGAAAAGTATCATCAGGGTTTGGGTTTTTTTTGGCAAATGTTCCAATACTCTTTTTAGTAACAGAGCAGTTTTGCATTTGAACAAAGCCAGCATAGGAAGGGTACTGTCAACTGCCCATGCCCTCCACTGTTGGCACCACTGATCACTGACTTGCTCACACCTCTGGAAAATAACTTTGTTGCCAGAGACACCAGTAACGTGAGTTGCCTAGGTGAGCATCAGCTAGAAAAAGCAGCATGCAGGAGAAAGTAAGGGAGAGAGACAGGTAGTGGTAGCATCAAATGAGTTTATGTCTATTATGAAAGCACCTGGTGTCACCATATTTGGTACAATTAGAGACAGGAAAGATAACTTGAGGAAGAAAATTATCAAGAAACCTGGCTTTGTTTTCTCAGCTTCTCCACAGCAAGCTTTTAAGGTTATTCCCTAGTAACCTGTATAGTAAACACTTCTCCTCAGAGGACTAGCAATAACAAAACTGTTTGCTATTCTTCTCTCCCCTTTACTGTCATAGTCCCCTTCCTCTTGGGGTGAGCCTGAACAGCAAAACTAGGCACAAGATGTACCAGGAAGTGAAATGGCAAGGGAAACTTCCCTCTAGGACACAAAAATGCACTGTGGATGCTACACTGTCCACAGAGATAACATCTTCAATGCAGGCAGGTGGAGAGACACTTCACAAATTTGTTCTGTCCCCAGTCCATTTTTGAAAACCCCTTTGATGCTACACACAGGCAGCCAGCTGACAGGTGAGGTCCCCAGAATGCAGCAAGGGAAAGCAGAGAAGCTGCATTTTCACACATAAATCTCCTGCTTTAGCAGAATCCTTCGCAGGGCTCTTATATCAGCCTCTGAGCAGCATTTGAGACCAGCCCAATAGAAGGTGAATACCAGCACAACACAGGACCTACTAATCTTGAAGTTTCACATATAAAAACAAGAGTAAACTGTAAAGTTCTGCACTAGTAGTGAGTAAAACCACGAACAAGTCCACATGCATTATTTAAACTTTGATGAACATACTAAAAAGGAGAGCAAAACAATGTTTATAGGTGCATAGTTTTTAGTGATTTAGCTTTTAGTTAACATTTTATACAATGCACTGCCATATTATTTGGAGGAAGGAATTGCTATGGGATAACACTACCTGGGGTCTAAAGGCAGCTGAAACACATTCAGCTCCATCTGCCTTCTCTTCATTATCATTACTGCAATGCAAGCTAGCATGAAGATGTGGAGTGCTTTAATTTTTCCCTACAAACAGCTTGTTCTTGCCAAAAACACTCTCACTTATGGTCGTTCTCACTGCATTGAGGTCTAATGCAATTCCAGGTGAATTGGGCAAGGGCACTGGCAAATTCTGTTTTTCTTCGTAACTTGAACTTAGAGCAGGGCTCTGAACTGACACAGGCTGCAAGGAACGTGGGAATCTGAGAAGATATTTTGGGAGGAGAAAAAGAAAATATCTACTGGAGTGCATATTTAAATGAAACACATACTTTGGCACCTTGCTGAAGGTGATAAAATTTGAGATCTCACTGAGCACACCAAGAGCCAAATGCACAGGTCCACCATCAGACTTTGGCCTCATTTTTATGGGAAGGGTTATAGCTCCTTTTTCTCACTGGGGGTGGAAGGCACTTATTTAAACAAATGAAAATGGACTGTAGGGCAGATTCATCTGCTTCTTACTCCAGTAAGAATCTTGAGTTACTCTTAGATTCATGCCTTGAGCCATTCCACATCTAACCAGGCTGATACACTGAGAGTTACTCGTGATGAGAATCCCTTTTTTTTTGGTCAGCAGAGCTGAGAGTCATGACCAGCCCCGAGGGCACCTGGGCCTCTGCCCACCCACCAGAACGACCTGCCTGGGACCACACACTGCCAGACTAGCTTGTGGCCATCCCACTCCATAGTGACTTGCACACCCAGCTAAGATGATAACTTCTTTCTTTTCCCATCTCAATTTTATATTATAAAAGAAGCTTGCTAAAACAATATTACACTTGGATTTTTCTTCCTTGTCTCCTGAGCTAATGGTCTTAAAAGGCAGCAACCACAAAGGTTTACTTGGTAGCGGTTTCATTGGCTTTAAAAAGATAGAGAAAGTAAGAAACTTTCAACACAAGACATCAAAGGTAAAGACTACATCTAGAAGTTTAGTCTTGTCAAGACAGTTTACCTCTCCTGCCATTCTTTTCACTGTGACTGCACAGTCAGTTGTGAGCCAGTGACTGGGTAGTAACCTGTCCACCAACATAAGCTGACAAGACTTGCAGGGAAATGTAAACAGCTGGTACTGGATTTGGTGGTTGCTGTTAAGAAGCCTGCCCCTTCAGTTGCTCTGGAGCATTAATGTGTTCTGGATGATGGTCTGTTGAAATGGCTAATTCCATTTAATTTTGTGCTCTGGCTCTGGCTGCGTCCTTTTCTTCCTTAGTTACTGTCAGATCGTAGATTGCAGCTTTTGACAAGACAGCGAAGGGAAAAAGGTCAGCACTGAAATAACCGGGCAGCGCTGGCAGCGAGATGGTAGGTTGAAGCTGGTGTGCGCTGGCTGCGCTGTCGGCTCCGCTTCTCTGACTCTGATGAGAAGCTGACTGCTTGCATCCACACCTGGTAGTTGATGTGGCCAGTAGGATGCCACATCCAACAAAACCTTTCAATCACATCTGCGTACCGTGAGCATAATCAAAGCAATGATGCTGTCAAACAGGATATGAGGCACCTCCAATTCTGCACTGATAGCCTGTTTACAGGCTGCATGTCTTGGTCATTTTAAATCAGAGGGAACAAGAAGGACCCGACTACATTGCTCCACATTGGGGACAATGAATTTGCAGGGTCAAAAAGCATTAAGCATCAGATAACTGTCACAATATGACGAGATGAATTTGTAAACGGACTTGCCAGATAGCTTCGTCACAGAGAGCCAGAGTCCCAACTGGAATTGTCACCACACGGAAATTGCAGCATTTTACTAAACCTCTAGTAAGTCAGAAAAGAAGCCAAGATCACCATTAATCACCAGCACAACAGTAATTATGAGAATACTTACAAGCAGTGGGTCAGGCCCTGCTTTAAGCCCTGATCATTACTTGCTTCCACTGAGCCACACAAAACCCTCATGATCTCACACTAGATTGCAAAAATTATTAGCAGTGTTAAGTAAAAGCTAAACCAGTTATCACCTCCTCACTCAGATAAGTTTCATACAAAAAGCATGGACAGAAACATTTCAAGGCTCTAAACAGACAAGTGTCTTTGCTGGAGAATGTGATAATATACTGAACTCTTTCCAAAGGTCTACTATTTTTCAATCATCATTTTGAAATGCAAATTTCTATTATGTATTTTTTAAAAAAACAATCAAAAAAAGAGTCTAACTTAAAAGGAGGAGGAATGTTGCATTTCTAGAAAATGTTATGTTCTAATTTTCAGCCAGTGTGTACATACACCATGCAAGTGTATATATTTTGATATATGATTCAGGGTAATGTATCTCTAAGTATACATTACCAGTACACTGTATCAGTAATTACCTAAATTTAAAATGTATAAAAGTTCTGACATTAATGAAAAAATACTGAAGCCTATGAAGTAAAGTCCAAATGAATTACGTTATAAAAATAAATCACATTACATATAGAGTAGAACTGTAACTGTCCCGTGAACTGGATTCAAGACATGGATTCCCACTACCATGAGAAAAGTTGTTTAATCCCAGGAGATTCCTTCCAGGAGACAGTACTGCACACAGCTATGCAGATGAACCGCCAGCTATACTGAAGTAAGTGGGATAATAAAGGATAACAAAGCTAAGCACAAATGTAAATATTTCAGCTATGGCTTGAAGGACTAGACTCATAATAAATACAATTATAGGCCTAATCCTTAGTGTCAAAAGCCATTTAAATACAACATTATATAAACAGTGTACACTATTTGGAGCTATAGCTTTGGTTTCCTCCTATTTTCAAGTTCTCTGCTGTTTCAGACAAACCTTCAAAGCATCTGAGATCCAAATCTTCCCACCCTGGTGACTGAGCACCATGCTTTGTCATGTGCCAGCCCTTGCTTTGTCAACAGGGACAGAAAAAACCTCGGAATTTAAGTGAAACAAGTGCAGTACCTTGCCAAATCAGCAGCAACACACTGAAACTGGTTCTGCCAAATTTATATTGGTCTTATTTGAAAGCCACAAAGACAACGGAAAACTTCTACAGAGGCAAGTAAGGCGATGATGATATTTTTCTTTTTTTAAGGACAAACTATTTTTAAAATGTACTTGTGTATTCTTAATCACGTTTGTGATAAACTAGTTACCTAGCAAGCTTAGCAAAAAATGAAGTGGTTTGAGCTCATTATCCTTTGGAAAAAAAAAAATTTTACTCTTTTTGCTGAAATATATTAATTTTTGAAAAGAAAGTATTTTCTTTAGAATTTATTTTCTCAAATATTTCAGAAAAATATTTTCAATTTTCCATTTGAAAAACTTTCCAATATTTTTAACATTATTCCAAACAATTACAAGAATCCTACTGAAATCCCTTCTATTGGAACACTATGTTTTCATGTAGCTAAATGAATTTTCGTATAACTGTACCTTCCAGCAAACTTATGGTGTCACTCTTACTCTGCTGCAACACTCCTTTAAGCAGACAAAAATATAGCAAGAGAATTGCTAACATAAACCAGAACAAACTCAAGTTAAATATACAAGACATAAAAGGCATGAAATTATCAACAGCTCCTCTTGGTGTCCCTCCTGTTTACCATACAGACTAATGGTTCTTTCAAATAAATAAAACATTAGCATTTTAGAAAACACAAGAGGTATCTTCGCCTATGCAGTAAATTATATTTGGTTCAATAAACCTGAAATTTCTATGAATGTTTTGCAAAATCTTGTTCTAACTGCTGACAAGTCCTAGCAGGTCCCAGGAACACAGTCCTTCCAGAAATTTGTGAGATGTCGCCTTTAGACCGTAAAACACCTCTGTCAGTCTGGCTTTGCATCACTTTTCTGTCTCTTTCAGATTTTTTTAAAAAGTGGTATCCCCAGTTCCCAAAGCATCAATTCTCTGAGCTGCTACTCAGCCACAGCAGCTACGTATTTATTGGCACAACGTTTTTCTGGAGCTGAGAAGGAACATGTGGGGCTTTAGCCACGGCCCAGGAGGATGCTCTAAAACATCCACGGGTTTCAGCTCCAATACCACGTTAGGTAGTTACTGACATTTCATCACTGTCAGTCACTCACCTTATCACAAACTTACCTCCTGCACAAACACTGGATGGCTCAGCTGCTAGGATCTCAATGCAAGATTTCTTGAGAATCTGAAAGATTTAGAAAATGGCATTTTTGGTAACCGTTTTATCTATGCTTTATTAATGCAGGAAAGGACGCCCTTTGCTAGGTTTCAGAATATCAAACTTACTGAATCAATGATTCCTCTTAGGGCATAAAAGCCTCCCTTTACTGGAAAAACATGATCGATGCTGTCAGCAATCGTTGACAGCTGCAAAGAAAGACAATCATAAATCATGAGGAAAACAAAATTACAGTGAACAAAACCGGGCCCTTTCATACTTGCTAGAAGACATCATAGTGACATGAAATGATTTATGCCTCAAGTAATTAAATAAATGCCTTCATCTGATGCTGTTACTTGCGCAGTAGTATAACAGAAAAACAAAACAAGAAGAAAGCAAAGTTACCTGAGTTTCATTGAAATCTTTCACTCCAACACAATAAACAATAGCTCCAAAGCTTCTGGCTCTGTTGGCCTTAAAAAAAAAAAAAATAAAAAAAATTGCCATTAAGTGCAAAGCCATATAATCAGTGGAGCCAGCAGTAAATGTCTACAAGTTTGACATAAACTAGTTTGGATAAACATGAAGGTGACTTACTTCTTGTTCTGCATAATAAAACTGAGCATCTTGCAATTCTCCATCCGTCAGAGCAATAATCACACTAGCAGTCCGAACTCCTACATGGAGGACAGTTAACAGATTGCATACATATGACACAAGACTCAGCAATGAAAAACAAGTTTGAAGTGAGGCAATCCCTTTTGCTGAAAAATAAATACAAAACCATAAGGCCAGACTCTCAGCCTTGGTGACACTTGGTGATATACCAGCTGAAGGCCAGATGCAAAGCATGCAATAAGCCAAAAACCAGTGCACCTTCACATCACAAGCATCACTGAAAGGGCAGTGCTGCCCAGCAAGGTGCACACATGGACTTTTCTGTTCTGCACAAAATACAGCACCTACTGAGATTACCACCTTTCCCATGGAGAACTGACAAAATGGATCTGCAGAGAAGGAGAGGCTTCCTCTCTTCTTTTGACAAATTTTTTTGTAGATGAACCTTGTCCAGAGGTTGTGGTAATAGATACCTCTGCAAAAGGAGCTTTCCTGCCATCCTACCTTCCTTTCCAGCAGACTTTCAAAGAGCAACCCCACCGAACATGGTATGAAATGTGTTTCTATGGGGGTCATGGGGATGGGGAGGATGTCTGGGTGTGTGTGAAAACCTTAAGATTAGCGAAAAAATTCATGTCTTGTGAGAGGACATTTTGTATCCCATGTAAGCTTAAGTGAAAAGGCTGCATAGGCTGCAGATAACTCTATATATAATGCAGTATACAATACAATGCTGCCTGTTCACCAAATGCAACATGTTCACCAAAATTAAACTGAATTAACATGCAAACTATCCTTCAACCAAACATTCTGAGTTCACAGTTCTTAAGCAAAGTAAATAATATACATACATGTTATTTTCAGGAAGTGTTTTGTTATTTTTTCAAAATAATCTATTACAATTTCAAGTGTCTTCCCCTATATTGTCTGAAATTAAAGACTGATGAGTTCTGACAGGTTTCTTATGCCACACAGTCCTTCCCATGTCATGTCAGACACAGACATAAATCTTAAAAAAATGACCTGCAACTTAGGAGGAAAAAAAAATAGCTTGGATTCCCATTTTTTTTCTGCTCAGCATGTTTTAAAATGGTTGAAAAAATTGAGATCTTATTTTGTTTTCTTCTCTACACTTGTTTCTTCCCTGATAATTTAGCTTATTAATCCAGATCTCATCTACTCTTCTTTCCTTCCTAATGAACTTACAGAATACTTGATTAGTTCTTAGCTATATGCTACAATGAGGTAAAATTGTTTTCAGCTGGACTCTTCAGGAGTCCTGATTTTACTGGCAGAAGTGCTTGCAATGCTGTGCAGAGCTGCTGCTGTAGACTCTTCTCTCACAGCCCATTTTAATAAAAAGGCACTGACCTGTTTACCCATCTTCCAAAGAGACCATCAGCTCACGAATGAGAACCACCTCACACAAGGGTATGAACCAGACAAGGCTTGTTAACTAATTATGTCTTGTTTTGGAACAGACAAGATCCACAAATACGCTTTCCTCTCAAAATTTAGTGAAAATGTATATTTTAGCAACTCAGAACCTGAATCCAAATCATTCACACTGATGCAATTGTAAAAGCTAATTGTATTCGTACCTACAATAATGAGAATGAGGACAGGGAACACAAAGCAGACAGGGTTGAAGGCATCAGGACAGAAGGGCACAGGAAAACCTTGGGTATTCCTGTCTCCTGCGTGCAGGACGGATAGCTGTAATGGTTTGGTCTGCATTCTGCAGTGGTCAGATCTGGGATCATACTGGTCTTCTCTGGTCTTAATAAACCATGAATCATGCATTTAAAAGTAGGACTGTAGTCAAAATGGAATGTAGTATTGCATAACACCAATTCCTTCTCCAATACTTCTTTCAGCGGGTTTACTGCAGGTCATAAAAAGAATTATAATCCCTGTCTTTTCAATGCAGATATATAACATGAACAATATACAACACGTACCTCCATAGGTTTCATGGTAAATTTGTTCATTTGCCTGAAAGGAAGTGTAGAACATTGTTAGCCCTTAAGTATGCCAGCATCAAGTATGCAAAGTTTATATGGATAAAACAAAGAAAGTAGGTACTGTGATATGTACCCTTTTAAATCCTTCATGCATGAACGTGTCTCCTCCAGGCACTTCACCACGAAGAATGTCAAGCCCTCGTCTTATGGCGTCCCTTTGGATTGAAAAAAAACAAATACAAACAAACAAAACAACCCAGGAAACCATTTTATTATTGTTTGTTTAAAAAAGATAATTTGGTTGTGAATGTGGCAACAAGAATTTTGCTCCAGCTTCAGACCCTTCTTACAAAGCCTGTCGCTTTGCAAACCACCTCTGGCATGGGTGCTGTCTGCAGGTAGCCCAGGAGAGGGATGTGATAGCCTGGTAAGGTAGTGCTCCAGCACTGGGTACGACCACTTGCTGGTGTAAAGTTCAGGGCTTTGAGTCTCTTCCAAGGGCACTGGGGAATTTTCATGCAATCTGTTGCTCATCAGTTCGTGCTCTGAGACCTCTTCCACAAAAACAGCCTTTATCTCGGTAGCTGGGGATGGCAGGGATATACCTGGATCCTCAATTGGAAATGCAATTTCTCCCTGAAATACTGCAATAAAGAACAGACAGCCTAGTGCTGCCTTTCTGTCATAAAGCTAAAAAGAAAATTGTAATGGGAGACCCAAAGGCTTTCTAAGCCCTCCTCTAGCTGGGAACGGTGAGGAGGATTTCAGTTGGTGCCACACCAACAATCAAGACAGACCTCCAAATTCTGGGGAGACTCACTGTTTGAGAGGAGGGATGAAATGTATTTCTGGATGAAAGCTGTGGGGAGTACTTGCCTGTTCTCTGTTAGTTTCATGATTGTAGTGCCTCGTGAAGAAAAAACAATGAAAGACATCCGCAACATTGGACTGAAACAGAAGAACAAGCCAGATCCATGTCACACACAATACTTCAAAAAATTTTCATTTGCTAAAAAGCACTGAACAAAAAAATAAATTATATAAATATAGGAAATTAAAATATCATCTTAAGAAAACTTTACCTTATGAACTTCTCTGCTAGGCTTTCCACAAAAGAGTAAATCTCAGTCCAGTGATTTTTGACGCTTCCAGATCTGCATACAAAGCATAATTAATTACATTAATCTTTCTCCACAATTAAATTCCTTGCTCCACTTCAAATTTTAAACCTGGCCTACTCCAGAGGTATGTAGGGACACAAATTATATAGAGTTGTGCTGGAAGCTTTAACAGGAACTATGAAGACAAAACTGACTGACTCAGAGACAAGTAAAACAGGCCTGAAACAGTTTACCATACAATATTGAAACAAGTTCAGTAACCCTTCCATCTGCTTTTGTTCCTTTTGCAGCATAAAATAAAAATATTTTCTTCTATTTTAATTAATTTTATTTTACTTCATTAAATCATCTGCTAGCAGGTTATTTACTTTCCTAGAGCACAGCTCTGCCCTTAAAGCCACACGGAGTCTTGACTGATCTTCTATTCTCCCAGAATGTGTGGGAGAACATTTCCATTAATTACTGTTTGTTTCAAAAGAGAAAGCTTTTGAAATAATTCAGAAGGGAAAGGCAGTAATCTTGGCTAATTTGCTGGACTAATGTTCTGGACAGTCAATCCCTGGCTCCATTATAGATTTCTTGTGAAAACTTGGGTAACTTAGTTACATGCAGAGGACTTACACATCCATGCTGCCATTCCCATTATATGCAACTGTATTACTGGCACTCTCTGGCTTTTTTTTGGCCAAGTCTTATCAGGGATCCCCACAGTCTGGTGGAACTCAGACTTCAAACAGAACCTTGCACACAGCAACTCTACAGCACATTTCTACCATGTTGATCTACACCATACACTTTCAAGACATTAGAAAGGCAACAAAGCATGAAAAGTCAATGCTTTTAAAAGCCCTCCCTAGGATTGTGACATTTAGGAAAGAATGACCCATTTGCTCTTCCTTGCTTGCCAAAGTCATCTCTCGGGTGTCTTAGGCAGAAAGATAAATGAAACAATGGCACATACAGAAGAATCACAGGGGCTTAGATGCAGAACTAAAAAAGTTTTGAAATTTAACTACTATAAAGCAATAGGATTCCTCTTAACTACTACTAGGCATTTTTCTGTGTAAACATGAGGAAACTATTTCATATTACAATTCTCAGCTCTACTATGGGCTTTCCAAGTGACCCTCTGCCAGTCACTCCTGCTCTTGGTATGTCAGGACAGAGCAGCACACAGAAGCCCACATGTGCAGTGTAGTATGGCACTGCCTGCCCTGCAGCAGTGCTAGTGGAGTGGAGAAGAACAAAGATAAAGGGACAAGAACCAAAAGGAGTCTCCTGAAGTACAAAACCTAGAATAAGCTGTCTTGTGTAACCCTGTGCTTTTATGCTGCTCTTCTGGAGAACTGGTGATTCATTCACAGAACAAATCAAAGAATGAAGAAATTGCCAGGCACTCAGACAGGGCAGCAAAACACCAGGGACTGCTCAAAACAAGGGTCTGGATCCTCTACGGTCCCTCATTTACATGTGCTACACAAAAACATGTCAGTGTATTTCTGAACAGCACCAATGAGAGGTGCTGGCACTATTACCGAATTAACCCTTTCCTCATCATTAAAACAATAATCCACAACTCATGCAAGGCATATAGTTTAAGGACTGCTTTTCCAAAAGAGATCTGAGACAGTTCAACACCTATAGTTCTCCAGGATTTTTCTGAAAGTCCCAGGCTAAATCTCTAAACATGAAGTCAGAGAGGCCTTCCTTGAATCTCTCCAAGATGCATTTACAGCTCTCAATTTTTTTTAGTTCTTTCAACCCTGGAGCCGACACTCTCAATTTCATTCTGAGCTTGCCATCTGATTTAAATTCAATTCCTGAAATTTTCAAAGAAGTCAATTCCCTACACAGAATAGCCGCAGTTTCTTACTTGGAAAAGGCTGACCTATTTTGGACAAGGTATCAAATTTCTACTGCCAGCTGCAGAGGCACTAATGCAATCCAAAAAAGAAAGCAGCAATGAATTTTCTTTAGAACACCAACAAACCATTTTCAGTACCTTCTGGGGACTATCAGAATCCTTTTTCCCCCCCTCCCTTTTTTTAATCTACTCCTCAGGCAAAGAACATCTTGGTAAAGCAGCCTAGACACTGAAAATTCAAGAGGATCATAAGCCACTAAAGGTGGAAAAACATGACTTTCAAAGTGAAAATGCACAGATAACCTTAATAACTATGCACTTCCGTGTACTCTGACTATAACGAAACACCATTTCTTGAAAAGGATACAGCCAGCGAGACTGAGAATTGGCTGTAATAAATCAGTATATGACCACCTCTGAAAAGCTAGAGAGGTCTCTGCATGGGCTGGTCCTCGCATATCGTGCCCTCAGAGTGCCCAGCTCTGTATCACTGAGCTACTGCTCTGTTGAGCAGAGTTACTTCAGTGTGGCAGTAGGTGCCCTTCTCCCCTAGGAGGAATGCTGCACCCACATGTTGCTTTATCAGCTGGGAAGTGCCAAAGTGTCCCAGTCTCAATGGGGAAACGTCAAAGCCAAACACGTAAGAAAATGTAAATGTTTTTAAATCTCATGGAGAGAGTACCAGTGAAGCGGTCAACGCTTAATCACTTTCCCCACCATACTCCTTCAAGCCCAGTCATCTCCCACTGCAAACGGTGCCTACATAACACAAATGCCAGTCATGTCTAACCAGTATGAACACCAGTGGGAGTGGCCTGGCTTAAGGAAAAACCTGATTTCCCTTCCCTCCCACCAAAGCTCACCTCTAAATATCCCTGCCAGTAATGTACTTTCATTTGCCATTTCATGTATATATATGTTTTGGAGGCTTCTTGGGTTTGTCCGGATAGTTTCATAGGTACCCCATACTACCAGCAACAGCAATTTTAAAGGCAGATTAAAAAAAAACTTTAACAGCAAAATGTTTGCTAAATTATATAGTAAGTTGCCAAATGCTGTCAAATATGAGTCCCAACACTGACAAACAGAACTCCCCAACACTACTGAAAATCCTGACCCATTTCACTGCCTTTGGGATCTTATCTTTCACACTGCAGAGTCACTGTTGCTGTCAGCATAAACTAACTTGCTTCTCTTCGTGGCTGAATCAGACTTAGAGGATTCTGCCTTGGTTTCCCACAGCATGTGGGAAGCTCCAAGCATACTCTAAGCTCCTTTCTGACCACGACCAATGCTTAAAAGCTGTACTTATGTTTAACTCCACAGTTACCAAGCCCAGAGAAAGAACAGGGTCTTTCAGTGATGCTCTGCAATACAGGTTACTCTTGGGCATCCACACAGCATAATTTTTACAGCTGTTTTGGTGGTTTTCTTGTTTCCCTTCAAACTTTACAGTTACCAAGAACAAATTCCTATTAATCGGTGTACCTGTGCTAACAGGAGTCTCAGATAGAGTTGGCATATGATTCCCAACACACCATCAGTAAATAAACACAAACAGATCCCTTGTCTGGGCTGTTTGGCCACCAAATGATACACTCCTGTAAGATTTCTGAGGAACTGTGAAGACTTCAGAATAACGATAAAAGAATAAATGAAGCACGGAAAAGATCAGCACTGTGCAGAAAAAACACTGGAGTGGGACACACATTTTTCCCCTCATTAGCAACTGGGAGAAGCCATGGGGAAGTGACACAGAGAGAATCCTATGTATCCTGTTGTGGAGTTCTGTACCAGTAGGTCCACCAAGACAGCACTGTGGCTGTCTGCAAAGAAAAGAAAGTCAGTGTTACAGCCATAACTATCTCGCAGGCCTCGTGGGTTTCCTGCTTTCAGCCATCGGCTACCTGGTTCAGCTCCTCATATCAAAGGCTGCCACTAATCAGCTGAGCCTTGGCCTTCCTCCCTGTGCTCTCCCAGCTGAGGAATCCCAGCAAGCCTAATATTCTCTGCTAAGTATCAAGCATCACAAGCCAAAGACCTCTGCAGATGGTGACAAAGAGGTGACAAGCAGGTTGTATGCCTTTCGGAGTCAAGCAGGATAGTGTGGCTTCAGCCCTTGGAGGTTACATAATTCTCACGGTGAAGGAAAGTGCAAAGCAATAAAGAGCTGTTGTGGGCAGCCAGAATGCCTCAGAAAGCATCTCAGGGCCTGTTTCTGCTGCCTGTTCCACTGGGGCGAACCCAGAGTGGGACCTGAGAAGCCCTGGTTTGTACCTTTGCAACTAGGACCAGAATTCGGCCCAAGTGAAGTTAAGAAAAAAAACCACAGGAGTCATTTGTCTTGAGCATGCTCATTTCTCCACAAGCTCCGTTCCCATTACACGAGACAAAGAGAAAAGTCAGCAAACCACAGTACAGGAAAGAATGTCCTCCCGGCCTCATCAGGACTGGGCTCAGAGGAGCAGCTGCTGCTGCAGCTCCTGCTGCTGTTTTCCTTAATTTCACATTGCTACCACTTGATGGGAGGGGAAAAGAGGAGGTCAGCGGGTATTTCTGGGGGTGGAAGGAAGTGATGTGATTCCAAGGCTTGATTCTGCTCCTGCTGACTTTGGAGTGATTCCTTGTAGTTTAGCGGAGTTCTGTGTCAGTATAAAAACAGTGAGCATGTTAAGAGTTGTGCCTACCCAACCTGAAGTATTTCACTGCTGTTTGCTCAGACAACAAAGAGCAAGATGGACTGGAAACATTCTCTTCTTTCCTAACAGGCTCCCAGAGGCAGAGGAAGCTGGAGCCCAGAGAAGTGAAGCAGCACAACCCTGGCATATGGAATGCTGCTCTCAGCTCAGTCACTTCAGCAGGAAAAAACCAGGAGGGCCAGTTCTGTCTGTCCTAGAGTATATGATAACCAGTTATCACTAAATCACTGTCAGGAGCACATAGAGATCAACCCAACCATGCAGCTTTGCAGTAAAAGTTGAAACCCCAGCCCTACCCAAACAGTATACATATTTTTATTACCATACACAGAGGCAACAGGACCCAAAGCCTTTCATCCCTGCTGAAAGCGACAAAGTGAAATCCCTTGAAAGCATAGAGCTGCCCCTGATCCTATTCCACACTTACACACACCCCCCACATGCACATTTGCCACTAATCTTTAACAGAT